AGAGAGAGAGAGAGAGAGAGAGAGAGAGAGAGAGAGAGATGTAGATGGGATTTTTAGTGTGTCCTGTAGCTCTACACAATGTCCTATATATAGGACTTCCATCAAGGTAAGAAAAACTCGAGTCCAAAACCTATTATTTGGGCAAGCCCAAGACCGGCCGAGACTGCCCCAATCCAGCCCACAGTCTAATTGCCAAGGCCCAGCCTAAGTCCTAAGGCCCAAGCCCGTGCCGAGCCGATCCGAGTCGGCCGGACAGCGGGCGGGCGAGCGCTTGTGTGGCTGAAGCCAACACCATCACTCGGTGCATAACTTTGTTGTTGTCGTGACCTCTCCAACTCTATTTATTATAATAAAGCGAGTTAATCTTATTTAAGAGTCTAATGTGGGAATGACTCTTGACCCTTCAAATGTCACAATCAACGTTTTCCGTGTACATTTATGGGTAACTTTAATCATTTATTATCACTTAACAGAAAACAATTTTAAAAAAATAAATATATCACAAGTATCTACTCGGAACGTAAATTTTTCTTACATAATTTAATTCAACATAACTTAAATATTTCGTCATAAAAAGTTCAATCAAAACAGTCAGACCCAAATTTTATTACTGATTTTTCCAACATTATGTTAGAGGCAAATCCTAAAAAACATGTATACGAACATCCGATGTGCAATTTTTTTCCTGCATTAGCATCCATCCATATTGAAATCCGAAGGATTCTTAAAATCATGACAAGACGAAAAATAAAAAGAGAGATACATAAACCATAGTCGTAATCACGTTTGCAGTCCTCATCATAGCAAGCTCTTCAAAAGCACAAATTCTAATTTTACACTTAAACCACACACAACAATACTGCTAGAACAAACTAGCAGTTGCCATACACAGATCAAACATATGATCACATAACTTTATTTGTTGGTAATAAAAATTAATTTAAGTAGCAAACACACGATAATTCTCTCAAGTCGCAAAGCATCCCAGATGGCATGAATAGAGAGAATCGAGGGTGAGGTCGAGCTCGTTCCTTCTTGCCTCCATTGCTTCGCCTTCGTACACACCTCTGCACGAAAGCATACATAACGATTAAGAACGTGTTTGCAAGCACCATATCAACTACCTTATTGTTTATTTCGTTAGCATATAACTCTCTTGTATTCCATTAAGTTTGATTTGGTAAGACGAGTTTTTTTAAAAAAACTCGAGCTTATGTCATAAGCTTTATTGGGTAGATTTTCAAATAAGTCCGTTGAAATTTTTATTTAGATAGCTTATCGGTTAATTTTACCAAACACTTTTATCATATAAGCTAGTTTTCCAGTCATAAGCTATCAGCTATAAGCTCGACATTCATTTATAAGAAGTTATCAGCTATCATTAACACATCAACTATCAGCTAGTTTATTAGTCAAATAGTCTAAATATTATGCACATGTATTATTAATTTTCAGCCAAATACAAACCTCAAAATGTTGGGACTTATTTATTTAGGATGCTCTATTATAACCGGATATTCCGAGTTGCAAAAAGTAGGGGGCCACATAGGCCCATCCCATGCCCAATGGTGGACAGCCCAACAAAAAATCAAGCCCAAGGCTAAATTTCATCCTTAGTTTATATATGTGACTGTAATTGAGATGTAAAAAGTAAAAAACTATACGGTAACGTACCCCATGTTAAGGCCTGGAAATTGTGGAGACATCAAGAATTGTGGTTGTGGCTGTTGCGGTGGTGGTGGTGCACTTGGGCCGTGATTCTGCTGGTCCCACATTTGGGCCTGCTGGCCCATTTCTTGTTCCTTCTCTTTGATCTGTGTAAAAA